GCTCCAATCACCATCAACGGGAGAAACTTAAAGGAAGTAGTCTCTTTCACCTACCTTCCTAGGCAGCACCGTTTCATTTACAGACGGCACAGACGAGGACGTCAAAGCCAGAAAAGCCGGAAAAGTAAGACAGGCCTCCATTAATTTGAAATCAGTCTGGAGATCTACTCCACTCCACTCCACTCCACTACACTACACTACACTACACTACACTACACTACACTACACTGCACTCAGCATAAAGCGTGAACAACATCCGGATTTTCAACACTAATGTTAGTCAAGTCAGTGCTTCTATATGGTTCAGAGAGTTGGCGTGTTACGAAAAGCATTTCCAACAAACTACAGACATTCATCAACACCTGCCTACGCTGGCTCGATAGTGAGGATCAGATGGCCAGAATAATAAGAATAAGAAATGAGGAACTCTGGCCTGTTAACGAACCAACCAAGAACCTATTTCGCAACAGATATGCGGAAGAAAGTGGAGATGGATTGAGCATACAGTGCACTGAGAAGACCATTTGGAGACATGACGCGCCAGGCCAGGTCGTCGAGTGGAACCCAGATGGGAAACGACGAGTTGGGCGTTCCAGCTGAGGGTGACATGGAGGAGATGGTGTGAGGAAGGAATGAAAGGTTGTCGGCAGTCGTGGAGCCAGGTTCAGAAGACTGCAGGGGACACAGTGGAATGGGAGCGTGCTGCTGTAGCTCTATGTTCCACTAGGAACCCGAAAGACAAATAGTGAATTATAATAATGCTGCTTTGCGTCATTTCTGGCGTGAAATAACTCCCTTATCTGAGGAGAGTCGGAAAACCGGCAGATATGTGTAATTGACGTTCGGGTTGGATGTTGGGCAGTTGATGCGTTGCTATAGGCCTGTCGAACTGTGCTTCTTGGTGTTTCACCCAATTTTGTAACTAATCTATCCTGGAATGTTACCACAGACCAATCCTTTTCGCTGATTGTCTCACTAAACATCACCTTCCTCGTATCAGTATTCTTAATAAACCTAAACAATAGATGAGTATCACCTAATGCTGATGATGAATTCATCTCTTTCGCTTTTGCCACTCAATAATGCTGGCAATTATTAGGACGATTCTTCTTCAATTCACGTTTGAGGTGCTTCTCATCGCGGTCAGAGTCAGCCGAAATGTGTTTTTTCATGTCGATTAATTTGGATGTGGTTTGTAGGTTGTTGACAATTTTTACCAGTGTTTCAACCACAGAGTGATTATCATGCTGTTTCATCAGCAGGAAAATTGCTTAAATGTTCAGATAAATGCTTCGCTAACTCGTCTCTAAATACTCGCTTGAAGTTCTAGTCATCCACTTGAACACAGAGGCTTCATTATCTTCTGTTTCCTGTGCCGATGCCTACGCGTGATCAAAGGTCAAGCAGGTATTCTAGAAAGAGCGGCAGTCTTCCATGGGTCCTCTCCAACGATAGCTCAGTTAAATGATACTCTTTGTGTTCATCGTTTTCAATCAGACTACAACATAGCATCAGTTTACGGCGTCTGCCCAAGGATCTGAGTCGTGCACGAAAATGTAAACTCCGTGGTTGACGTCCACGTGATAACCGAAATGACGGGTTAGAGACTCTAAGCAATAGGAATCAGGATCGATTGCAGTGGCGCAGATGTACTATCATATTATCTTCATCTTGAACTTCATACCTGATTTTATCTTGTCTTCTTTTAACGATATCCTAGCACTTGGATTACTGACTTGCCTATTTCTCAATCTTTCTTATTTTGCCTCTTAATTGATGTGCTGAGATGAGGTGAGATGACTCAAACCGTTATGCAGTGATGCCAGGTTCCATGTTGATGCTGACCTACTCCACATACTTTCAGATGACCGGGTAATAGTATAAGTGTCTCAATGTCTGGTCGGTAAGTGTGTATTTGATTGTTCAGTTGCATTGTATAAATGATATTGGTCAGTAAACTAGATAAAAAATATATCATGAACGAACTAATAAATATTGTTAAAAAAAAGCATAGCTCAAAATGTCAAAGAAAATTCAAAATACTATTTCTGAAAAACTGATTGGATCTACTGATCCAGTGGATGACCAGTGAGGCATTGGTGACAACCTGTGGGAATTACTAAGGCCAATCGCAGCAGCTGTTGCCATTGCAGACATAGAAGGTCCATTTTGGTGGGTGGGAAGAGCTTCATTATGTAACCGGCTGCTAAATGGTTGGCGGGTCTGTGACCAGGAATAACTGACGAATTAGGACCTGTCCACTGATTGTTTATGGAACGCGAGACGGTATTACCATGATTCCAACCAGCAGGGACAACTGACGGAGCACCTAATCCTAGACTCGAACTCAAGGAAGGTGGAGCCAATTGACAGAGACCTGCAGGTGCTGAGTGGTTCCAAGAATCGATAGAATTACCAATGGATCAAGAGAATTATGTGCAGAACCAGGTACAGTTGCAAGCGGAGTTAAACAAATTGAATCCCA